TTACCTGTCAACCGCTTCTGAGTAGTCTCCAGTTCCCTCTCCCGGTTCGGATACGCTTGTTTCCCGCCTTTTTTTCGCCCGCGCGGGCGATCTCCGGCTGTTTTTTTTGAACATTCGATTTAAAGCGTTATAGCGCTATAGCGCTATAACAGTATAACGGAATAGCATTATATCAGCGCTATAAAGCGAACTTAAAAAAAAAATTGACCGCCCGCACGGGAAGAAAACGGCAGGAAAACAAAGCGGTGCGTGTCTGAAATGGCAAACCGCTTCTGAATCGGCTGATTTCCGGTAGGGGCAAGCCATGTGTGAAATGGCAGCCCTGTACCAGTTCAACTCAAAACGGAAGAATACCGACTTGAAACCGGGAGAAACTGGGTAATGTGAAATTCCCCAGTGTTGTTAAATTAATAAAAGAAGTTTAGGGTTACTGGGAAGCATTATATATGTTTGGATGCTCATGGATATTTAGATGCAAGTGCAAATCCTGTTTGGTGAAATATGTAGGTTACTGGTTGTGAACCATTTAGGTCCCGAAGGCCCCTGCCACACGGCAGGGGAAAAGCCTCTTAAGGCGCGGCTTTTAAAAGCCGCGCCAACGTTGAGATGCCGCGGCGGGATCCCACGGATCCCCTGGCCGCGGCGCCTTTTCTCCCCTGCGCGATCAAACGCCGGGGAGAAAACACAGGTCAGACGCCTAGCCGGCCGAACTGCGCATGTCGGAGCATGCGCAGTTTGGATCCGGGCCGGGGTTGTGCCGGCGCAAGGATGCGCCGGCGATGAAACGCCCCAGTTGCCGCACCGCGTCCATTTGAACCACCTAGGGTAGGTGGTTCAGTTTGCGGCGGATTTGTGCGGGGAAGGGACAGTTCGGCCACGGAAGCAAGACGCTTCCCAGATGTTGTGGTGTGATCGCGCCGGTTTGATCCGGCCCCGAACTTTCCCGCTCCCGGCCCAAATCGCCTAGTGTGAACGGGACCCTATATAGCCTTTTACAAATCCAATTCTCTCAGAAAATCTTCCTCACAGGTATGCTGGATTCAGCTTCTTGGCAGAATTCAAGCATGCAAATGTTATGGAATGCTCTGTGTGCATATCCATTTTGTTCTGAGATAAAACTTAAATAAGGTTAAAGTTATAATTTTTGTGCTGCCAAGATGTATATGTACCCTTCTAAATTGGTCTCTCCATCTATTTAATCTCAAACCTTGTTTTTAGTTGAGCACTGCAGGATCACAGAGGAACCATAACTTTTATTAGCCTCTCTACTTCATAAAACAAATGGCATTTTGAGCATGAAAGCTAACTTTAAGAAAAAAGCAGTTGAATAATTTATTTGAAAATGCATAGTTAAGTATTGTTACTGAAGGGATTGGGGAAGAAAAACATTCATGATCAGTTTTAATGCCTTTGAAAGAGTTCGTGTCATTGCCTGCATTTCTCCATGTAATTTGGAAGAAGTATTACTGAATTTATTTTTTTAAAGGGCAAACGTTTGAAGCTGAGCATTTGGATTGTTTTAGGTAGTGGTATGTTTTAGGTAGGTGGATTTTTTTCAGTAGTAGTGTATTACCTTTTGTTGTACAATTATTTCTTCCTTTACATTTACAGAAATACAACTGAAGTGTTTTTCCCATGTGGGAAATCAACAAAAACAGCTGAAGTAGGGTTCTAGGCCACTGATTATTGATGGGTATTCTATCTCTAGGAAACTAAATTTTTACTACCTCAGAATACAACATGGTGCTTATCAGCATGTTTTCTGGTGTCCAGTTGCTTCTTTAATCTTAGGGGAGGGGGATCCAAAGAAAGAATTGTAGAAACAAAAAAAGGAAGCTTTGAGTCACCCTCTGTGAGTTGACTGTTGCCTAAGTGCCAAGCTTGGCCTTTCTTATATCCCTGGACTTGGCAAACTTTACCTGTGGCTACATAGGGATAAAATGGACCCCTTTATTTGGAAACTAACTAATCAGCTGTCGTCTCCAGCAGCAATTTTGTGATGGTGCCATCTACCCTTTCTTAAAATTTCAAAAGCGGCCACATACTTAAAGTTGATTTGTTTCTTTTCCTTCTGTAGAAAACCAAAGCAATTTATTAAGAGTCATGTGAAATAAAGAAAACAGTTCAGTCACTAATCCAGGCATATAAAAGGAGAGGGATTTTATGAGCTTCAAAATAGTTCCAGATTCCTTGCCCCCAGTGAAATACTCAGGTCCTGTGCAACCGGTATAAAAATAGAATATAATTTCCCTGGAAGAATTATACTTCTTGTGTTTTATTAAATCCTGTATTGATTAGGAACCAGGTAAGAAGCCGCTCTTGCACCTTGAAAGTCCTTGAAACCCTGTATTTCAAAAGAAATACTGTTTGTGGGTAAAATATCCCACCCATACCAAGTACCAAGTTATCTGTTGCTTCATGTTTTTGTTTTTTCCTGATAGGAGTGTGTGTCATAACCAATGCTCCCTCTAAGCTGTTGAGTCTTGTGAGCAAAAATTCTATTTTGTGAGCTACTGGGATTAAAATTCTGAGTGAGCAATTTGGCTACTGCATAAATTAGTTTGCTCTGGAGCCATCCTTCCTGAGCTAAGACAAAAGTGTGTGAGCCAGTGGCTAAAAAACTGTGAGCTAGTTCACACAACTCAGCTTAGAGGGAACGGTTGCTTCCATTTGATGCTGGGTGGGAGGAAACATTGTACAAGGGTAACCTACCAAGCACTGTTCAGTAATGAGATACCTACACTGAAAGTACTTTACTGAGTTCATTCGGCAGCATCCTTAGGGAAATCCATTAAAAAGTACATGGAATCTTTTTTGATAAACATGAACATAGGCCTCAGACCTGTCTATATAATTAGAATGAGATTAGCCATACACTAATCCCCCATCACTACTCCATCATTGCTATCTATGCACCATCACCACCACTATCTGGTTCTTTCGGGGTGCGAGGTGACCTGGCAGGAGAAGGGATTACAGACTATGGGAATGCTACCATTGGGATTAAGATCTACCCCATCTTGTGATAAATGGAGCACTGATATTTTGTTATTGTATTTTACTGTTTTATTGGTATGTTGTTTTTATTTGTTTTAATCTTGGCACTCTGTGCCTCTTGTTAGCCGCCCTGAGCCTTTGGGGTAGGGTGGGATATAAATCCAAAGATAAATAAATAAATACAGTAAACCACCCTTAAAGAATGTAGACTATTTTTAACCATTCTATTATTATAGAGCTCCATTTTTAACCATTTTATTATTATAGAGCTCCGTATTTATTTATGTTTTGTTTACACAATATATTATCCCACAATACTGTATTGCCTTAAATTCCTTCAAGCCAAGGCTGTGTTTCTGTAATATACAGTTGTCCATTTCTGTGACTTTACAATTTCTATGATGTTGCACGATGTTATGGATTCTCACTTTTTTTTTAGCTGAGAGCCAGTTTGGTATAGTGGTTAAAAGCGGCGGACTGTAATCTGGAGAACCAGGTTTGATTCCCCACTTCTCCACATGGAACCAGCTGGGTCAGTCACAGTTCTCTCAGAGCTGTTCTCTCAAGAGCAGTTCTCTCAGAACTCTCTCAGCCCCACCTACCTCACAAGGTGTTTGTTCTGGGGAGAGGAAGAGAAGGAGATTGTAAGCCACTCTGAGACTCCGAGTGAAGGGTGGGGTATAAATCCAATCTCCTCCTCCTCCTCCTCCTCCTATGTTTGTATTATCAGGAAATGATGAATAAATTGTTCTGAGAGTGGGCATTAAAGGAAAAAGGGGAAAGGATGTGTATATAAGCAGTGATCCAGAAACTGTTTCTGTTCTGATGCATGATCACAGTATGCATAGTATTCTTGCAGTACTGAAATAGAATGGTGCTTTTGCATTTCAAGCAAGGTGATAACTATGCAGAATTAACATTGCAGTTAATTAATCAATTAAAGCAGTCATTTGCCTGACACTGTCTAATGCAGTGTTTCTCTGACCTAATAGTTGAACCTTTTTTCTAAATTAAGATTGAAAGCGCACATCATTTATACAACTGTTAATGTTTATTGGTCCAAGATATATTTAAAAATTAGAAGAATAACAAATCAAATGATCACTCCTGATCATGTTATTGCTCTTTTAAGTTTATATATTCAAAAACAGAATGTGTTGCGTAAACATCTCATCAATTTGCTTATGTTAGCACACATGGAGAAAGTGCAGCAGTGAGAAGACCTCAAGGCAGTGATCTCCCACAACATCACCAGTGAACATAAAGACACACACAATTAGCTGTGCTTAATCAGAAAAAAGATTAATGCTACTGGTAAATTTGGAGGCAGCTGTGTCCCGCAATGAAGTTTTTCCTTCTCATAAGTGGTGTTTGGCCACTCAACTAAGAGGATTGTCACCTCTTGAAAAGAGATTTCTTGAAATGGTCACTGCCAAATGTCCATCGGGATTTCTTCCAGCTGATGATACATTATTATAAGCGGTCCTTGCCAGGGCTACAACAGGAGGATTCATCTGGAGGGGGCTGAGATTTATTACTTTACAGCTCAGCATGAGGACTCTTAAGTTTTCTTCATTCATGGTGAACCTAGAGACATTTAATATAGATGTTAACTTTGGATATTGTTCATATTCTGGATGGGATTGTGTACTACATGTGTGTAAATACATTTTTATGTAATAGAGACATTTAATATTGATGCCAACTTTGGATATTACTCATATTCTGGATGGGACTGTGTGTTACATGTGTGTAATAGATTTGTATGTAATTGGATAATTATAGACTCAAAAATTGCTGTATTTCAATTTATTTATAAATTTCATTATTTATTTGTTCACGGTTTTCACCACTCGCTCTTGTATTGATATCTGCTGTGATCGCAGCTGTTGTTCTAAATTAGTTTTAAGCCATTTCATAGTAGATATCTGTATGCAAGTGAATTAACACTAGTATTTTAACAGATCAATAGTTAACTGAATGTTTTTCTTTTCTCTTTGTAGTTTGCTGCTTCGTGGTTCACAAGAGGTGCCATGAATTTGTTACCTTTTCATGTCCTGGGGGAGACAAGGGGCCTGACACGGATGTAAGTACATTGGATTTTGCCAACTCCTTAGTTTTGATGCATCGCTGCATTTAGAAATGATGGGGAATGTTGGCAACGGAGGAATCGCTTCACATATGTTTTAATATGCTAAAATTATTTTTCCCTTTTATCACAATTCATATTCTGTGTAGCAGTGGAGAGTCATAATATGTGAGCAAAAAAGGAAATAAGAGGAAGCAGAGAGAATAGACACAAAACAAAAAAGGTGAGGGATGTGTGTGTGAAAACTATGTTCCTAAAGTTGTGTTTATTAATAATAAAAGCAAATGATGGTTTGTTATCAAAGGGGTGTTTGGGATATTTAAGCAGTGGGTTTCCAATAATGTGAAAGACCCTGCTTTTCATGCTCCCTGATTCAGTATTATATTCATACTAGATACATATTGGCAATAAGATCTCCATTGATCTACAGTTTCTTTTTACAATGAAAAATGGAAGATTGCTTTGTATCTGAATCTATATGTCTCAATCTAGAGGGTACTTTAACTTTTCAATAGGAAATGTCCCTTCACACTTTTTCATTTTAAATGCATGTTTCAGTTGTGACTGTAGACCCAGTTTTGTAGAACGAGTTCTTGCATTCAGCAAATTCATTTGAGTATAGTTTGTGAATTCAGTGTCAGAAAGCTGTTCCTGGACAATACTATTGTAGACTATATGTGATGAATTAAATACTATTTTATTAAATACTATTTTAGGTATTATATACTATTTTGGGCTGTATGTGTGGTCATGCGCCTTTTCTAGTTGTAAGGTAATATTTTGTGGGAGAAGTGATACTGTCTTGGAAAAGTTTTACAGCTTGTTTCTGCAGCATGTGTGCATGCGTGTGTCAATACTGACTAGGAAGTCAGTATAGAGAGACCTGTGGTAGGGACCATTTTGTTTTGGCCCACTCAATAAAATTGTTTGCCTAGATTATCTCTATGGAGATAAATCTGCAGGAGTTACAGATAGCATATATAGATAGTGCGCCCTGTTGTAGCCTTTTGAGATATCTGGTGAGTCACTATAGCAAACAACATGGGGGATTAGTTGGATCATTGATCTGATCTAGAAGGCTATTCTTATGTTCAGTTATTTATTTGGTTAGAAATGTCTGGAAGGGTAGACCCTTGTCCACCAGCACTCTCTGACTCTATGTCCAACCATTTGCATGGAGCCCATGCACATGCAATAGAATGTTTGTAGATTCCCAGATGTCTGGTCCATACAGTGAAGTTCTTATGGAATGGGTTGTATATATGGAAGTTTGCAGCCATTTGAGGATCTGTGTGAAACCTGATTTAATGGGACCACTGAAGACACTGGGGTGACAGGCTCAC